TGGCAGCTGGTCTCCTCAAACCCTGCTACTAAGCACAGAGGCCTGGGAGACCTTCCTGGTGAAGACTCACTAAAGAACAGAGGGCACTGAGTACCTCAGCCTTCTCTGTGTCCACTGTCACTAAATGACACATCACACTCTCTAAAAGAAGCTCATATTTCACTTGTCCTGCTTTTTACTATTGAAGTACTAGAAGAAACTCTTCTTCCTGCCCTTGACCTCCCTTGCAAGTCATCTCTAGGTGAGCATTGGCTCCCTTGATGTCATCCCTCCATAATAGGACAATTTTTCTAAATTTCTCCTTTGTAGTCTGTCCCCGCTGCCACTGCTCATATATCCCACTTTTGCACTGCAGCTCAGACATGGGTTCCCTGTTAAGCCAAGGTCATCTCTTGATAGGCCTGCTTGTTTTCCTGACTATCAGGATGAATCAATGGCATCTAAATTTATTCTCGGTGAATCCCTGCTGGATAGAGCAAGTATGAAAAGGTAAGCCATCCATGTGAACAAAAGGGTGGAAAAGAGAGGAACCAATAGAATCTGACTGAAGAAAGAACTGCAATGTGGGAAAAAGCTGGTACAGTTGACACGGTGAACACAATCTTGAATTTAGGATACAGACCAAGTCTTAGACAGGTAAGAAAACAGGTAGGAAAGGAAAAAACAAATTCAAATGGAGCCAGTGGAAATGCAGAACATAGAGAGTATAGATCCTAGTTATGATGGAGAACTGAATGTGAAACTGAGGATAGTGGACAGAAACCTGAGACCAGAAGACAGGAGTGTGAATAGTTGGAAAGCAAAGAACACTGGGATAAACAATTTATTAGGTAAAATCTCCCCACACAGCAGTTCTGGATCTCAGACAAGAAGCCCTTTAGCAAGAAACAAACTGTTTACATTGGAAAAATAGGATTGTGACAAAAATTTCAGAATAGGACAAAAAAGATTGGGACAGGAAGATATCACACGAGGAATAAGCAGAAAAATCAGCATCCAACAGAATATGCTCACTGGAATAGAACTGAAGATTCCAGAGTTTTATCACTACTATGAAACACTTAAAAATCTCAGAAAACCATTCGCAGATGACATCATTTGGACCACAGATGAAATATAAATTACTAGTACCACATTCTCTGCTAGCTCAAGTAGTAAAAGTCTCATGGCAAAATATACAAACTTCAGCATTTCTAAAGACTTACACGCTATCAGACATATTACTCTTATATATGCAATCCCACATGACAGAAGGTTTCCCCCGTCCATCAGGGTTGCTGACCTTTTTTTTCTTTTTTCATCTAGTGTGTTGAACACTTTGTTTACGTACAAAGAATTTTTTTTAAAACAAGTATCAAAAACATAATCCTTCATTTAAAAAAATAGTCACACCACAAAAATTAAAGATTATTTGATCTTGTTCTCTGTGCCCCTGTGCCCAAGATACTCTTGCTATGATCCTGAACAAAATGTTAAAAAAAATTGAAATAACAACACTATATGATAGAAGTGCCATAGGCACTGCAAATGTTAGCATGTGCACTGTTAATAAGACAGGTACTGCAGGAAAACAGAGGAAATTACTATTGTCCTGGAGAATTGTATTTTCTTCTTGTTTCTTGCACACAAATGATCTTTAAAAGGAAAAGAGAAAAAATATATAAAAAAAAATCAACAAACTTTTAATGACCAATCCATTCTTCATCAAAATTATGGCCTTAGTAGCTTGTGGTTAACGTTGCAACAGATCTAAGTATTTATACTTGCAGTCTAAATCAACACACACCATACTACAAATGAAGTAGTGAGGTCTTTTCTAGATATGGACTCATGGATCCCTGTTGAAGGGTCCACTAAAAACAACAAAGAAAAGCCAGGTTATTGTTAGTAAATTAAACCTGTAAGGGAAAACATATTAGAACACACAAATCATTAAAACACTGATAGATTATTTTGAAAAATCATATCATAAAGGCCCTAAATTGGACATTCAGCATGATATTATATATCTCCAGGGATGTCTGTGAAAATATTACTAGTGAAACATGCAGGCACTAGAGACTAAAGGTAATGAAACAGCAGAAGAGGAAATTAAGAAGGTATAGCATGAACAGCGCATAACCAAATAGTAAGGCCACACTTCATTTGATACCAAGAAAAAGGATTCAAAATTGAATACTGAACACAATCTATGCCATTCTAAGCTATATACCAGAAGAAACATTGTAGGGAAAAGTAGCATTTAACCCTGCATTTACAGGCCAAATTACAGCTCTTACAAGAATCTCTAATTTTGGCATGTCATGATTTATAAGAGCTTGACCTTGCAACTTCAAAGTTCTTTGAATACGGTTTATGTTGCACAATAGCAAAACACACACTATTTCCCTGAAAAACACACACATCACTTCAGTTGCAGATTATATTCATCATACAAGAGATGCATATTAATGCAATCATACATAGCATGCATGCATTTGTTTTCCTTATTGTATTAGTAGCATATTCTATGACCAAACAACAAGCTTTTGAATGAGTCCAGAAAAAACCTGTCATATTTTGCTTTGACACTAGCTCCCCCTCCAGACCAGCCTAAGATTATAGTAATGATTTCTTATTTTCATTCTGGCTCTGCAACAAGATATAAATACTCAAATCCAAACCTTCTTCATTTTTATCCACTTAAATGTCAATTAACAGACTGATCAGAGAAACTATATATAAAATTATCTTTTTTTTTTTTTTTTTACTGTACATAGATTCCAAGCCTGGGAAAATCATTTGGTTTAGAAAAGACCTACAGATAAAGCACCAATTCCATACAGCCACAGAAAGACAGGAATGGACCAAAAATACAATTTTTACACTATGAATTGTGTGCACTATTTGTAATACTTAAACATTCAATTACACAATTGAGTCTCTATTTGCAGTCCCAATAAAGTGATCACAAACCACAAACGCCAAACCAAAAGGAAGCCCCTACATGGTTTAGTACTAACTTTACTAATCCACTTAAGCTGAATCAGTTCCATTTCTACTCCAGCAAGTAGAGCTAACATTTTTCTTGTTCTCGTGTTATCTAGAATTAATCTTTTTCAGTTGTTCAGCCAATAAGACTGCCAAAATTTTAAACAAATGAAGACACAAGACCAAACGGTAAAGAAAGCTACAACTTCTAACTGACCTTCTGTATTTCCCAGTTGTCAAATGTCCTGACAGCCACATAACTAAAAGAGTGAATTTGACTGATTCAACACTCCAAGTTGATTGCTGTCTTTCCCTCATTGTTGAACTGCTCACTCAGAAAATATGAATAATTAATTATACTTTCTACTCTGAAAAAGTTTGTCTTATTATATGTTGTTGGGCAAGTATGCAAACTTTGCAATATGCTAGTCTGCCAGTATAAGGTACATATACATATGAAACCCTAACAAGTATCAATAAAAACTTGGCAGCAAGCATACCTGCAAGAACCGGAGAAACAGACACTACTGGAAATACATCAAAGCATAGTCACCAACTCCTAATAACTAGTTTTCTTTAATAATGGAAGGAATTGTAACAGTCACCTGTAAAACCACCCCAAGCACCAGCAGCACAGGCTATGTTGGCCATTTATTTGCTTTTGCAGTTCAGACTTTTCTAAAGTTTTTGACAATTTACAGTGGAGAATTACTTGGAAAATGAAACAAGATTAATGCTATAAAATCAAACCTTTTCATGCTTACACACTCCTCCAGATGTATTTACTCCGTTAGCTTTCAGGCCTAGACATTAAGATACTGCATTTCAAGGTAGAAAGAGTATGTGTGCATATATGTAACATGTATACCGAAACATACACTTTTCAGCAGCTGTGTGTGTTTCAGTATGCAAACACGGGCAAAAAAATAAAAAGGCACTAAGCGCTAATGCAAGATCACAGGTGAAGAATGCTGTGAACACATGGTTGCTTTCCACATCCATGTGGATCACGGTGTACCATGTGTGCATTGAGGACACAAGGACAGCAGGTACTGCCCCGAGGAAGTTAGTCTTTCAAAAAGCAATTTTGCAGCTGATGTCTTTGCCCATAGGCTTCTTGGTACAACCTGCACCACGGCATTATAGTTCCTGTCTATTCCTATACCCTCAACCATAAGCTTCTGAAAGCAGAGGGTCACAGCCTGGTCTTTGGAGAGCGTCAAGAAGAACACAGCGTGCGCACTTGCACACTTGCACAGGCGAGTGAAAGACCTGAGAATACATCAAGCACAAACCCGCCTAGAGGTAAATCGCCAGAGCCTTATCGGTAACAGAATCCATGACCAAAGCAGCTAATTGTGCCGAAATACGGTAAAGGTCGCCGTGGGAAAAGCCCCAAGCAACAACCGATGGCTCTGCATCCTTGTCACACAAGCACTTCCTCGAGCTACCAGGCGGCCCTAGAGCGTGAGGTCCGTCTACAAAGCCCACGTTTCCCGTTTATTTCTCTCTGCCAAAACCAGGCGTCCCCCCGGGGCGGCCGCAGTTCCCGGGACAAGGAAAGTTGGAGGCCGCCTCCCGCGCCCTGCGGCCGTGGCGCACGGGACGGCGGCGGCCGCGCTGCCCGACCCGCGCTGCCCACGCCCGCCCCGGGGCAACGCCGCCGCCCGGGGCTCGCACGCATCTCCCTCCTGGGCCCGGCCCGGCCCCGCTGCCCACGGTGATGCCCCGGCCGCCCGCCGAGCCCCGGCCTCCCCTTCCTCCGCCGCGCTCTCCGGTGGCCCCAGGCCCCACTAGCGACCCTCAGGTGAGGGAGCCCACGGGGACCCCGGTACACGGCAGGGACCGGCCCCCTCCCCGCCATCATCACCCCGGCGGCGGCGCCCGTTGCCGAGCAGCGCCGGAGTCGCAAAAGCGGCGGCGCCAGGCCCGAGAGAGGGATGGGGAGCGCTACCCGGAGCAGCCCCGTCTCGCCTCGGTACCTGCTTCGCCGCCGCCGCGGCTCACGCTCAGCCCCCGCATCCCCTTACCCGAGTGCCGGCGCCGCTGGCGAAGCCCGCTTTGCCGCTGCCGAGGGTGCCGGGCGTGGGGAGTCGGCGGGGCGGGCGGGGGGAGCGGCGTGGAGGGCGGGGGCGCTCGGCGGGGAGGAGACGGAAGCAGGAACCCGCCGGCGCGGAGCGGAGCGGGCGGCGGGGACGGGGCGCGGGCAGGGCGCGCGCCGAGGGCGGGGAGCGGCGCGCGGGCACCGCGGTGACAGCGGCGCACGGCCGGGGCAGCGCGCGCCCCCGCGAGCGCGCCGGGGAGAGCCGCGCCGCGGGTGCGCGCCTGCCGGGGGAAGCAGCCTATGGGAGCGCGAGCCCGGCCCCGCTGCTGCGGGAGCGCCCCCGTCACGGAGCGCCGGAGCGCGCATGCGCGCCCTGGAGTGCCACGGCCGCTCCTCCAGCCCCCCCCGCCGCCTCCTCCCGCGAACCTCCCATCCCGGGAGCGGCCGGGCGGGACGGCGGCGGCATCCCTGCATCCCTGCACCGAGCTTTCCCTGCCGGGCGCGGGGTCGCAGGGCGGCGGCGGCGACGGGAGCCCGCGGGAGGGGGGAGCGGGAGCGGCCGCGTTCAGCCCGGCGATGGGTGCGAGTGAGTGGGGAGCAGCGCCTGGCTGAACCGCCGCTGCGGTCCTTCCTCCTGCGGGGGAGCGCGGAGGGGATGGGGCGCTGGGAGGGGCGTTGCGGGGCTCCCCTGATCTGCCGTTTGGGCCCTCCGGGGAGACGTCTCCTCCCCGGGACCGCGTTATTCCCGGCGGCGGTGCCGTGCCGGCGGGCAGGGCTGGCCGCAGCCCCCTGAGCTCGGCGGCGCCGTCCGGAGCCCCCGCCAGCGCTGCTGCCGCAACAGGCTGGTCCTCGTCTGCAGCGCCGGTGCATCGTGCCCGGGGAACGGGCTCAGTGTGGCTCTGTGTTCTTAATGTGAAGATCCCTACAAAGGACAGAAATCTCACAAAAAAAGTATTGTGAGAGTAAAAGGAGTCTGCTGGGTGACAGCACGACTTGGGAGAGGTCCGCTCTAAAGCACCTCGGACTGACTGCTACTTGAGCACATACAACTTGTTCTGCTTCTGTGGCTTACCAAAACCCTTCCTGAAAGAGCACATAAAGAGGTAAATTCGGGTAGATGCAGAATTTCAGGGCATTTAATGTAACTATCATTTCCTAAACATTCACATGGGAAAACTATATACATTTCCAAAGTTTGTAATGGGAATGTTTCGGCGTGCTTGGGAATGGCAGAGATGGGAAGGCAGCATGTGCAGTGGGAATTGCAGTAGGAGTATGTTTCAGGATACTGTGGTTTCTGTGAAAGCCGGAGATGGTAAGCATGGATGTTTTGTAACTAGCACATCCTTCTTGCACCCCCTCCTAGGCTCAGAAGAGCTGTCCTGCATATTGGTGCTCTGTCATGTATTTGTTCACACTTGTCATCTCTAGTTGGTTCCACAATCCCTCTTCTTGTTTTTTGTTTTGTTTTGTTTTGTTTTCCCCAGAACTAGTAAACATTCACAAACATGCTTGTAAGGTCTCTGCAAGTGTGTCTTGGTTTTTCTTTTTTGACTTCATATGTTAGGGGTCAGCTGTGTGCTAACGTGGAGCTCGGGGCACAACTGCTGCCAGCATTGTCTGGGGGACAGAAAGAAGAATTATAATATTCTATGCCAATAGCAACCTTCCAGAGAGATCTGAAAATTCAAAAATAATTAATACATCTTTTTTCCCTAAGGTTTCAATTCCTAACTGACAATACTACAGATTAGTTTAGAAATTGAGATCATAAGCAGATTGCCAATCATTGTCAAGGATTGAGTTGCAGTTGCTAGCTCCTATTACTGTGTCAGTTGTTGTATCTATTAGCAATTATATTGCCTACGAATTTAGCCAAGGATTTGGATTTCATAAACCCAGTTCCAAAAGTCAAAAGCATTTTAAAAGTCTAGGCATATGCAAAAGAGCCAAAACTGCATGCAGGTAAGGGAAGGAAGCCCCCATCCTGGAAACATTCAACATCAGGTTGAACAGGTCTGGTTGAAGATGTCCAGGGAGTTTGGATTAGATGACCTTTAAAGGCCCCTTCCAACACAAATCCTTCTATGATTGTAAGCTGCATCAAGATGATCCAGAAGCTAAGGCACAGCTTTCCAAACTATACGTTTAACTACATGTTGCCTTTGCTTGGAGGATCTCACCTAAAGAAAGATGCTAAAATTAAAAAAAAGTCATTGAGGGAGACATCTGAAAACTGGAGATCATCTTCTGATGGGTCTTTCCTGTTTAGTAGGAAAATACTGTTTTATAGACATGTCTGACTACTAACTCACATGCAAATGCAAACAATTCTGAGATACAATGTTTGCAAACTGAAAAAAATCAGGCCAAAAAAAATAGGCTATTTCATTAGTACACTTGTGATGATTTCAGTTGTAATTACTATGGTGTGAAATTAAATGCATTTCAAGTGATTGCTTAATGCAATGAGGAAACTACCACTGGTTTACTTGCTTTCAAGCCCATGATATTCTACAAACCCATGTGCTATAGGCATATTATCTTAAATCAAAGAAAACGACACAGTACTAGACCTAGTATCCACTGGAGATACCAGTGGATGAAATGTGATCAATCTGCACATAACTTGTACGGTTATGTGTTATTTTTATTTGTATTTTAGTTCTAACCATGCTATAGCAGCTACTGCTATCAGCCTCATTTTTATTTTGAGGAATTGTTGACCTGAGCAGTGCTAAACCATGACATAATGGGAGAAAGAAAATTAAATTGCTAGGGAGAAAGATGAAAAGCTACCGAGGGAAGTGCTGTTATAGAGCGCTAACTTGTTACAAATGCTAAATGAAGCAGGTATATACATTTAAAAGTACTTTTCCCAAATCAGACTGAAAGGCCAGTAGCTAATTTTATTTTCACCACAAAAAGCTCGTTGTTAGGTATGGAACCCCACTTGTGACTCCAACAACTCCTTCATCACGTGACCAAGGGTCAGAGTCTTGTTGATGCTCTGAAACCCTTGAGAAGGGAAATTTTCAGTAGAATATCGGACACTTTTTCCCTACTATAGTTAGGAGATCAATTTTCCTAAAGAATTTTAAGGTGGAACATTCTAGTTTCAGTTGTCCAGTGTATGTTTTCTAATGCTTAATCTCACAACCTAATGAATCACTTTACCTGATACAGACTCAAAATCTGCTGGAGTCAGCTAATTTTTCTGGTTTGGCAAGAAAGTGGTAGCACTTTTACAAAGCAGGTGGAATCTCAGCAGGGTAACTCTAGTTTCTCTTTGATGAGATATCCTGCCACCTGTCTCAGAAGTTTCTCTGAGTAGCAACTTGAGTTAAAATGAAATGCAAAGGTAGTTTAAGTTTTCCCTCAAATACATGAACACATACTGGACTCCACACTTAAATATCACTGTAAATAAAATTCTACTTTTGTGAATTTTTTCTTTCTCTATGCAGTGCTAGCTGTCTCCTGTTTTTCACTATCTCTGAACCCACAGCCACAAAGCAGTCTTAATGGATACCAACAACTCCCCAAAAAATACCTGACTTCTTAAATCCTTATCCCTTTATATGAAATGCATCCTCATCCCAGTTGTATAGTGGTCTCAAAAACTTTAGAAGCAAATTCAGATTTAGCTATCATAGTAGTAAAAGTAAGCTTGAAAGGAAGAATCCCCAGAGCTGGAAAGCATGTTAAAAAATGCTTCTTTAAAAAAAGCATCAGTTTTGGGGTATGGTTACCTTAGGTTTCCTGAGCACTTTTTATTTATTGCAGTACAACTGTACCTTGGAAATACTTCACTTATACAGATACCCAATTCTCCAGGTGATGCCAGAGTTAAAGCACACACTTATCTGAATCCCTCCATATGCAGCTTGGTGCTGCAAACTGGCTTTACTTCACACCAACTATTCTATATTATCTGTTGCAGACCACTGTAAAATGGTAGAACTCAAGTACCACTAAAACTAAAATGAGAACAGGATCGGGTTACAGGCATTTTCCTCTGTGCTGACCACAAAGAACAACACAGTTTCTAGCATAATTTATCCAAGCTTTATTTTGTCATATGAAGTAGGAATAAGGCATGGGTAGAAACAGCTCAAGATCCATGTATTTAAGAAGCAAATGAAGAAATTACATTTGAAAAAATGGAATTGGAGTGGGAGGGTGTTACATCTTTGTCCCTCTTAAATATAGAGGAAGAGCTGGGAAAGAGTACTGACTTCTAAATCAGTTAATTTAACCTCCATATAGAAGTCAACATGTTATGAGTACTCAGACACTGTACCAGTCAGGAAACTGCAGAAATGCAACCATAACATAAGAATTGCAGAAAACATACCACAAGGGTTAAAGGAAATTCAAGACACAGTCAGCAGGGAAATTACAGAAACTGCCAATGTTAAATAAACCTTGTTTTTAAAATATCTAAGAAAATTACCAATCCTTTAATACAAAACCAAATTTCTTAAATTCTAAGGAATGTTTTAAAGAGTCTATCAAACGTTTCTTTTCTAGCCCTCAGTGTTTTTCCTGCTTTTTCTAATGACTTGAAATCTTATCTTGTACTTGTTAAGTCTCAGTTTCAAGTAGAATAGAACTGTAAATAATTGAAAAATACACAAGCTAGTAATGTTGTAATAAACTTTTTAAAACATTTTAACTAAGACTTATATCTGTGTCCATTAAAGGATATCAAGAAAACCTGTATTTATTTCTCGTTTTCCAGGAAATGCTAACAAGTACAGCCAGTCACTGTAAGTCCAGTACGAGGTAATGGTTTCTCCTCCTTGGAAAACGAAACAAAACAAAATTTTCTGAGTAACTGAGAGGTATTGCTGTTATAAGATGTAAGATAGCGCTTCAGCATAACATACAGAAGTGGTTGCAGCTGCAGAGCAAATTAACACACTTTTCTGTCCCATTTATCAAAACACTTTCAGTTTCCAGCTTAAAGCAGGTGAAACCATAACAAATATTGCGCAAGGACTGTTTATCTGTAGCCAAAGCATTTGAATAAAGTGTTTATATAAATCAGTGCAAACTTGTTTTCTCTTGACACTTCTACTTTTACAATGTTTCACTTTGAATTCTGGTGGGATTTGATGTGGCACACCAGTTTGTTTCTGTCCACACTGGTT